CCGAGAGACCGCGGGCCGGGGCTGAAGCAGGGGCGGTTCTCGCCGGACGCAAGGAAAAACTTAATCCGTGAGGGCTGTGGGGCAGGGCAGGCGCTGCCCGCAGCCCGGGGCCGAGGGGCCGGGCGGGATGGAGACCGCCCCCCCAGCCGGGGCCATCCGTACCGTCGGAACGGAAGCAGGGCGGTGTTTGCAGCGGGGGTGTTACGAAAATCGCGACGGGGCCCCTGGCGCAGGGCCGGAGCTCGTAGCTGCTGGTGGCAGAAGGCTTGTTCCTCACGCCGCGCAAGCGAGGGACTTCTTGCGGGATGCCTTCCCAAAAAGCAAGTCCAGTTTAAGCTGCAATGCTTTGCTGCATGGCCTGTGAGAAACAGCTGAATGAATTACAGGCGAACGCTGTTTGTTTTTCCAGATGCTCAAAGGACTGTTAATTATACATGATTGGTGACAACGTAGAAACTAAACAATGCCAACTAAAAGATCCCATGGACTTGTTTCGTTCTGGGCAAGTTGTAAAAATATGTGCCCCTATGGTTCGCTATTCAAAGTAAGTAGCTGTCACGTCAACTATGTTTTCAGTGTATTTTGTCTGAGGAGGTTTATCTTGACTGTAACAACAGGGATGATTACTTTTCCCTCCTTTTATTATTGAAGATGGAGATAAACGTGGGACGCGTTTTATTTTATTATTATATTTGGACATCCCCGCACTACTGCATGTCAGAACAGCATTTTAGAATAGCTAATCAGAAAAATGTCTTCAGTATTTATCTCTTAATTTTCATGTGTCTGCAGGTTGGCTTTCAGAACCTTGGTTAGGAAATACAGTTGCGATTTGTGTTACACACCAATGATAGTGGCAGCTGATTTTGTGAGATCTGCAAAAGCTAGAGACAGCGAATTCACAACAAATAAAGGTATTTTTTTTTAATAAACCATTGTCTTGACAGAATGTTTTATGTGGTGATAAACCAAATTGGCCAAGTGAATGAAGTCTGTCACACAACTTGACATCCATTAGCAATTTTGGTATACTCTATCTGATTGATTATAAAACCACAGAAATACTCTAGGTAAGAGTAAGCACATTCCAGTGATAGTGTGTCAAAGGAAATGGTGGAAAACCTTGTCTCCACCTGAAAATCAGGGCCTCCAAACTGATTAAGATGTGTGGTGTGGTGGGTTGACCACACATAGCTGGCCAGCAGCTATGCACTCCTGCAGCTGCTCGCTCATTCCTCCTCCACCGTCCCAGCAGCACAGGGAGAGAACAGGAAGTGCAAAAGCAGGAAAAACTCGTGGGTCAAGATAAAGACAGCTTATTAAGCGAAGGAAAGGAGAAAAAAACAAGCAATACAAGGCAGTCACTTCCCATCTCACACCACCAGACCAAAGCCCAGCCAGTCTCTAAGCAACAGTCACTATGGAACACAACTTCCGTGTCCCAACCCACTTTCTTCTTCCCCTACCACTCCGGTTTTGTTGCTGAGCTTGATGTTACACGGTATGGAATATTCCTTGAGCCAGTTTGGGTCAGCTGTCCCAGCTGTGGCCACTCCCAATTTCTTGCCCACCCCAATCTATTTGCTGGGGGCAGAGGGAGGCTGAGTAAGAAAAAGAAAGAGTTTTGACACTGTGCAAGTACTGTGCGGCAATAGCCAAAACAGTGGTGTATTATCAACACTGGTTTTGTCACAAAATCCAAAACACAGCACCATACAGGCTGCTATAAATAATCTTTAAATTTAAAAATTACCTCCATCCCAGCCAGACCCAGTACGAGATGGTAGTAAGATTCTTTTCCCAGCAATTGATGTTTCTTGTGTGTTTCAGAGACGAACACTTAACTCATTGCTGGGAAAAGTTCCCTGGTGTCTAACAAAAATAAAAGGGTTGCTAAAGGCGAAAAAGTAATAGACCAGACATTGATACAGTGAAATCAAGGATTGATAAAAGAAGCAGGGTTTAAAATTAGCTGGAGTGGAAAGGGGAAGGGGCTGTTGGTGGACTCCTTGAGGTAATGAGAGCGTGATAAAGAGGGACAAGAAGGCAAGAGGACAGGAAGTTGAAGCATGGCTAGGGTTGATGGGGAGAAGCAAGGCTTCAGGCATGGTAGAGAAACATGACCAGAACACATACAAAAAGCAGTACAAGGAGTTGTACAGAGTCCTGGCTGTAAAGCAAAAGAGAAGAGTGGTATGAAATACGTGGGAAGAGATGGCAATAATGATACAGTGTCTGCAGTAGAAGAGCGTAACGAGGAACATAGAAGCAGAGACTGCAACTGCAGGAATCAAGATAAAGCTGCTATCGTGCTAGTAAGATCGGTGTGTATGAAGAGTGATGATTTAATGTATTCAGACCACTGAACTGGTGGTGTATGTATAATAGCAGGGGAAGTAGATTTAGTTATTTTAGCAATGGCTTTTTACTATGGTGCTTATTCAAATAGAACAGGGCAGTTACAGTGAAAATTCTTGTTGGAAAGCACAGGTAGACTCTTATTAGTGGAATTCAACTTTAAAAAAGCATGAATAAATCTTTGTAAAAATAAATAAGTAAGAATGTAACTGACAATATATATGGCTCAAAGCTCCACAGAGCCACTAGTTTGCCCCCTTTGAATTTACTTACACTTCTGATCTATACAATGTGGCATTGAAGTTCTGCAGGTCAGATATGTAGTGTATTCTGGGGGCTGCAAGGACGGGGAAAGAGGAAATTCTCCTTTATGCTGTAATTTTGCTGCCTGATATCAAGGGGTACAAAAAGAAATGTTCTAGTGTTGTAAACAATATCTTTTCCCTATTCACTTCTTTCATGCTGGCCTTAATTTTATAGACCTCTAAAACATTCTGCCTCAGACAGCTTTGACAAGATTATAGTATTTACATTATCAGCATTTATTCTTTTAAGAAGTAGCTCCTCAACAGGTTGTGAAATTTTACTGTGGTTTTGTGTTTAACTTCCTGGCTGTTTGGGGATTTTGTCTTCTAATTAGTGGAGTAGGTTTGGAGCCTCCAATTGCAATTTCTGCTTTCAATTCTCTTCGGCATTGATATTTCTTTGTTGTATATTTCTCAAGTAGAGGTAGATGTTCTTTCTGGCTGCTGCTAAAAATTTAATATGGCTAGACTCTGTATTTTTATTAGTTAATGCTCAACCAAAAAACTAGGAGCATGGGATTATTCCAAAATATTAGCTGTAACAATGTAAATCTGTTCAGCTAGAACACTGTATTAAATGGACACTGTTTTGAAAATATGCAAGGGATTTTTTTGCTTGCTGGATTTTTAGGTAACTTCTAGCAGTGTCTCAGCTTGATTGAGAGGGCACAGGTGCCCTTTCTGACTTAAACACCACTACTTCAAGAACTACTTATTTTCCACTAAAATAGAAAAATCTTCAGAAGCACTTGTGGTCTTTTCAGTACCAGAAGTGCACTTGCTTTGTGCATTTGTTGGATCATCTCTTTCCATTGCTGCTCAGATACCCTCCTTCCTCTTAACTGCAGCAATTGTTTATACGGAAAGTGAGTGCTAAGACTGAGATATTTTTAGGTGTCTAATGTAATGCAGTCGCTGCAAAAGAGGAGAACATGTTCTAAATGACCATCTGGCTCTCTGCAGGAACTTAGTAAACCACAAGTAGTTCAGCAGACCCAAGTTGAGGAGCACTGACACTTTGGTTTCCCACTTGAGACAACGCTGCTAAAGCTGCCTCTGCCCATGTATTATCATTCCAACTCTGCATATCGCATTGTGGATAAAAACCAGCCATGCTGGCACAGAAGGGGAAAAAGATGGGCTGGGATAAGGAAGGGTAAAGCTTGTGGGTTGTTTAGCTCCTTTCTGAAGGGTTGGTTCCATAAGCAAGTTTCCCACCTGGCAAGATAGACAGCCATGTCAGCACAGCAAAGGCGCAGCATGTAGACAAGAAGGGGCAGGCTAGGAGGGGAAGCATGAAGGCTGCTGAAAAAATCGAGAATACTTAATTTCATATATCATCTTTGTGAAAGATAAGCATCTGACCAATTTCAGTCAGAAAAAGTGTATGTTGAGCCAGCAGCCGTACAGGACACATATGTTTGTCTGAATTCCCACCTCTCCTGGTAGGCATACTCATTTAATAAACACTGGTCAGCTGCCTTTATTTATTTGTGATCTAGGGCTCGCACAGTCACACACGCAGCTGAGTTTGAAGGACCTCTTTAGGTCATGTTATCCAGCCTGCCTGCTCAACCGGGGTCACCTAGAGCCAGTTGCCCAGGACCATGGCCAGACAGCTTTTCAATATATGAAAAACATTCAAAATTTAGAATTTCTTCTTTTTATTTTCTGGGTATTTTTAAATCTCTGAATATCTTTTCATTGGAGTAGGTGATCATCCATTGATTGTTCAGTTTGCTGCTAAAGAAGCACAGGTTTTGTGTGATGCTGCCCGTATCGTCTGTCCTTTTGCAGATGGAATAGACCTAAACTGTGGCTGTCCTCAGAGGTAAAGTTTTGAAAAAGACGGGTAAATATGATGAAATAATTTGAGAATAAAGAATGCTGGTCTTCATTTTCTTAGCAATTTCTGTCTTAACTTAAGAATAGACTTTGAGAAACAGCTTTTTAACCTGTCAGAAATGTCTATGTGGCAAGACACTGTTCTGCGTGTTCTGAGATGTCTGTCACCATGGTGAGACCGGGAAAACCAGGTGTATTTGCTAACTTGCCTTTTTTCTGAATGTTGGCTCAGAAATGAAGTGTCCATCCCTTCTCAACAGTTGTTAAATATGCATTACCAAAAAGAGCTTGCTGCAAATAATTTGGAGGGTGTTTTCAGAAATGATGTGGCAATTCCCAAAATAATGATGCAAGTCCCTGATGTCTCAGACTTCTGCAAGTGAAGGATAATCTCTAAAATATAATTATACAGATTATATTATTCAGGAAGTGCTGAAAATAATTTCTTCCGTCTTTTACTACATTTATAAGTACAGTGAATTAGTGATCCACTTCTCACTTAAATTGATAAAGATTTTGTGTTGACAGTGAAACATAGTGAAACGTAGTAGTAATGTACAAATGAAGATTCTTACTAACTGGTTCAATTGAGAACCATTTATTACATGCTTGTCAAAAAGTCTTTTTCTAAGTGAAGGCCTCAAAAATAAATATAGGAAAGCAAAAGATAATATTATGGTGCAAATAGTTAATTTATCTATTCTAATTAGGTTGTCTTGACTTAAAATGATAGTATTTGAGAAAACTTTTCTGGAGAGATCTGAGACTTCAGAATGGAAGTGTTTTTTTTCTAAGCTAACTACAGTTAAGAATGCCAAACCGTAAGTTCCTCTTAGGCCAAAAATATAGGCTTACATTTGAATCCTTTGTTTCTTGTGTGTGCTGGTTTCAAAATAACAAACCTTTGTGCTTAGTCTGCCTTAATAAGAACAATTGTTTAAGGGAAAAAAAAAAGGTTATTTCCTGTTTTGCAGTTGACGGAAAATAGGATTTTACTGAAACCATATCCTTACTTGCACTTCAGAAATCCTCCTTTTCAATCCAAAGTCATTTTCTGTTTAGAAGAAAAATCCATGATCCGATGGAAGGGGAAACATCAAACTATTTTATGTATGATCTAAACCGTCGTTGATTAAATGTTAATTCATCTTCCGTGGGTCCATTTTGTGGACAGAAAAATTGAACTGGAAGAGATAAGTAACTTGTCCCAAGTTTTAACAGCACAATGGAGACTGAACCAGGATCTAAATCTGATGTCAAACTGCAGATGAATTGCTGATCTACAGCCAGTACTATCTCTGTTTACTCAACTGCACATTTTAAAAGTCCTAGAGAAAGAAATTGATGTATTTGACTGAAATTGATCTGCATTTTTTCAAATGTAGAATACAAATGTTCTTTTTCTTTTAAAGATGGGCAATGGCAGAAGGTTATGGTGCTTGCTTAATAAATAAACCAGAGCTCATTCGAGATATGGTGAGACATGTACGGAATCAGATCGACAACCCTAGATTTTCAGTGTCTATTAAAATAAGGTACGTCTAACTTAAGTGCTGTTTGTGGTACATGGAAGAACCCTTTTAATTTTTTTTTCAAGAAATGTTAGTGTAATATTTACATTACGATATATGTAATTCTATTAATGTAATATTACACATTATAATAATTTCCTTACATGTGTAGACTGCTGAGATTTTTTGACCCCAGATGGTGAAAGAACATCTGAGGCAAGTAATCCCAAACTTAGATAGTAGAACCAGCACAGCCTTTGACTACTTACCGAGATAACATACTGGATGCTGAAGTTTTCTTGTAATCCAAATGACATGACAGTACAAGTTAAAAGGTCTAGGGTTCCTTAAAAAAAAAAGCAATGTCTGTGTCATCACAAGGATTTACTTTGTGAGCTGTTGGGGGCCAGAGCCACAGTTGCTGTTGGCTATAACAGAAGGGTAACAAAACCAGAAACTGGTCCCCACAGCTGCTATAAAGCATGCATCCTGCTTCCTTCATCACTTCCTAAACTTCTGTAAACTGTTGCTTTGCTTTGCTTTGTACCCCTTCATCAGTTAAGTTTCAAATCAGTTTGCAGTCCTCTGGGAAAGAGAAGCCAGTATGAATCAATTTATTTTTTGTCCACAAAATCTGCAAAATTATTATGTTTATTTTAGAATCTTTTGGGCGCCCTTGCTCAATCTCTGTAAAATTTACCCTGTATATTTCAGAGATGTGATATAATTGGGAAACACTAAACGCTAAATAAATAGTGCTTTCAATACATCAAACTTGTATGTCTTTTAAAAAAACCTCTTTATCTTCCAACAGTAATATTTTCTTTCTTTATACTGTTATACAAATCTGTGGTAACCCCTCCTTAGGGAGCGGGGCTTTTCATACAGTTCAGGTAACTTACTATCTAACGTTTTCATTCCTTGGAATTTTAGGATCCATGAGGACTTAAAAAGAACAGTTGACCTGTGTCAAAAAGCTGAAGCAACTGGAGTTTCATGGATTACAGTACATGGGAGAAGCGTAGAAGAAAGACATCAGCCTGTACATTATGATGCAATTAGAATAATTAAACAAAGCATGTCTATACCTATTGTGGCTAATGGAGACATTAAAACTTTAAAAGATGCTGAAAACGTTCATCACTTGACAGGAGCAGATGGTAAGATTAAACACTATTTTCTAAGTAAACTTAAAAATCAGATTTCAAAGTATTTATTTTGGCTGTAAGTAGGACATGATTTGAGTGCTTTTCATTCTTTGAGGAGACAAATGAAAGAGGATGTTTTATATGACTTATAAACTCATAAACAGAATCACTTGTAATCATCAGAGCACTAAAGCACTGTTATTCAAAGCCACAAATAATGGATTTCTGAGGCAAATTACAAAAGCTCTTTGCTTAATTATGCTATCTCATCACTCAGTGGTGGAGTTCAGGGGGACCTTCAGAAATTCATTCCATCTCTCTATGGAGCTAATCATCTTTTAAAGAACTGTAAACTTCCACTTGGAAATCTCTACTTCCTGCACATAGGAGTAGATTTCTTACAGTAAGAATGTGGTGGAAAAAGGAAATACTGTTAAGGCAGATACTTAACAGTTAAGATGGTTAGCTTCAAGGACACAGTGAGGCATTGCACTCTTAGATCTGTATGTACATACCTTGTCTTACACTTCAGTGATAAAATTTTGGGGTAAAAGATTGTCCTGCAGTTATTTAGTCACAACAGATTCCTGCAACAGTCTATGGTTTCAAGACAATATGGAAATTCAGTGTATGTTTTGAGAGGTGATCTGTATCTACACACTTTGGGTCTTACAGCTAGAGAATAACAGGACAGAGAACAGTAGCTAGTGTCATAAGGAAAAGCTCACGTGGCATGTTTCTTTTGACGTTACTGGTGTTTAGTAGCAACAACAAAAAATAGTTGAACCAAACTGCCATGCTGCTACAGTGACTTTCCTCCCAAATACAAAGCAGGACGGAAATACATAACAGAGAAGGATGTTCTCATAGCCCAGTTGCCCTTCTTGAATAACAAAAATATGAAGCATCATTTTTTTTCTGTCATACACAATAGCAAAAGAAAATTTTCATTTTTGATGATCCTGTTTTTTAAGAAGAGACTAAGTGTGACAGGTTATATGTTGACAGTGCAGGAAAACAGAATCCCTTAATCGCAGAAAAATTGCAATAGAACTTGTATGGGTTTATCTGACAATTTGGGATTATAGCTGCAAATACACTGGCTTGTTCAGAAAGATTTACTGCAGATCAAGAGCCCTGCGATTTATATAATTGAGACATTGAGCTCTTACTGGAAGAAGGATTCTAGGCCAGTGAATCAGCTGAGTTGCACTAAAAATTACTGAATTTAGGATATTGCTACTCTTGTGTCTTTCCATCATAATTTTATGTTGAAAAGACAGGCTTGTATGTGTGTAGCAAATAGAAGCAAAATATTATTGAATTGTAGTTTAAAGAGTAGGGAAGAAAGGCTTCTGTGTCCCGTGTTTTGTTTCAAAATTTCTGGAAGGATACGTCATCAAGTTGAATCTGTTGACAGGTGGTGTGGGTATTCTGAGGTTTGGATTGTTAAATGGATTTCTCTGGTGTAGCTATAATACTCTTCCTTGTTGTTCTCCCATTAGTTGTCTGTAAGCTTTGGGTCATTGTCCTAAGGAATGCTATGCAAAATCTACATTAAGATTTATTATAAAATGTAAACTATAATGTTACTTACTGCTTCATTTTCCAATTTGAAGGTGTAATGGTGGCTAGAGGACTCTTAGCAAATCCAGCTATGTTTGCAGGATACGAAGAGACGCCTTTGAAGTGCATCCAGGACTGGGTTGACATTGCTCTTGAGCATGGAACTCCTTTTACATGTTTTCACCACCACTTAATGTACATGATGGAACGGATAACTTCAAAACAAGAAAAAAAAGTTTTTAATGTTTTATCAAGTACCTCAGCAGTACTAGATTATCTGAATGACCGTTATGGTGTGTGATAACTGGAAGTATTTTAGTTCTGTGTAAATTTGTATTTTGCAGTTGTCGATACAGTGTTAAATTTTTAATTGGGTTCCTACTTTTTAGACACATTCAAACATTGCATAAGTATTTTGAACACAACATAACATTATGATCAGGGTGATATTTTATATTTTTAGTATTTTTATGTCAGCATTTTTCACTCCACAAAATATTCCAGATTCCACAAATATGGAGTTCTATTTACAATGCACTACTACACAGAGGACTGATTATTGTAAGATTCCAGTAATTTAATTTATTTTTTCACCAGACAATTACTTACAGCAATGTGTTTGCAAAACTAGGGCCCTTTCTTACATGAAACCTCCTCAAATCAGAAGGACTACTCATAAATAATACCAAGAATTTTAGACCAAAAGAATACAAAGGGAGCAATTATAGAAGTTTTTGCTTTAACTGACATAAGCTGCACTTTTAAATTTGAGTAGATTTTTCAAGCTTAAAGATTGCAAGGCCTTGAAGCCCAGCATAGTATCCTCTTTTAAATTAGATGTTCCTTTTGCAAACTAAAACTTTCTAAACTTACTTACAATTCAGAAAAATTCCACACTTCATATAGTGAAAGAAACTTGGAATAGATAAACAATGATGGAAAGAAGGAAAGAGTAAAATGAAGAGAGAATTTAAACGAAGTACAAACTTAGCTGAATCTAAACTGTGAGACTTGAAAGTTCAATCTTAACTAAATTCAGTTTTGTTTATCTATTGTATAATAATTATATAAAAGATTAAATCCCTGTCATCTACCAAAACAGAACTTTATAGGTCAAAGAAAAGCTGACAGATTCGCTCAGTGGGGCTCTTGCAGTCCTTTCTGCCTGCTGGCATGTTGCTTATCAAAGCATGACAGCCACTTGGCATTGAGTCTTTGTATAGGAGGGAAATAGTGAAAATTAGAACAAGATAATAACATTACACACCAGCTGCATTTGTTCTGCAAGGGAAGTTTCACAAATCTCTGTAGTACAATTATTTGTAATCAAATAATTTGTTTTCTTTAGATGTTTACACAGAAATTCATACCAGAAATTGCTTTGTTTTCTGACTCTGATACTTCTATGAATGTACAAGTGAATAGTTCTAAATTTTCTAAATAAATTACTTGGGTTTGTATACAATTGTGATTTTTTTATTGCACTATAAATTGTGACAACCTGGGGGAAGGGAGGTTGCTTTTGATGCTACTTCCCAAATCTTTTAATCATTTAGATATCTAATTTCTCACAATTCTTTTAATGCAATGGCATAAGAGATTTGATCATTTTTCATAGCAAATATGTTGCAATTTAGGCATAAGAACAGAAGTTTGAATGGCTTGACCATCAACTCTAGTTCACAGCAAAGTTACTAACTCCCCTGACATGGTCACCTTCCTGATGTGTTAACAGATGGAAAACTACAGGCATGCTTTGCTGTCCTAGGCTAATTGACACAATCTCTACAACCCTTTTTGGTGCGATAGGGTCTCCCTTCCTTCAGACAACTATTTTTTTCACTCTTCTGGATTGTAATGTTTCTTGACACTGGATGAGCACAGTTATGTATAGCATCCCAGGTAAAACCCCAGCAATGTGTTCTGCAGTTAATACTTCTCTAATGCCTCACTTTTCTTCAACTAACGTTCATCATGTAATTTATGAGCTCCCAGTTCTACAGCAGAAGTTTTTATTTCCCAATGCATGACATTGTATTTTGTACTGCTGAATGTCCAGTCTCAAGTTCATCCAACACTAGTGCAATACTCAGTTCTCCTCAGTTCTGAAAAGGCCTCCAGCCTTCTGCATCAAAATTAAAAAGTAAAACTATACAACTGAACTGTACAAGAAATGTATTCTTGAAAGTATTAGCCAAGCCCTGTGTTAGCATTTTCTTAAGACTTTTATGATTTGACAAGCAACTGTTATTTGCTGTGAACTGTCCCATTAGCCACAAGGAGCAGGGAAGAAAATGTTATTTATTATAATCAAATAACACAAATGCAAGGCACTTTTTTTTTTTTTAATAGTGGGGAAATTGAATTTTAGAGGACTTGAAATACCTTGACCTATTTAGGAACTGAATACTTGATGATTTTGAAGGCAGCAGTTGTTGTGCCTGTGTGAGATCAATCACAGAGATTTCTGCCTGAAGTACAAGACCTAGGTTGCTGTTAATATCGCTAGTAATTAAGGAATGCTTGATCTGGCCAATTATGCATCATAAAAGTCAGTGGAAGTTTATCGTCCCTTTTTGAGGGTGAAATGAATTGTAGACCTTCCTCCCTTGTGAATTTTGTATGCATCTGAACACACTTCACTGTTGATATAGAATAAACTGCAAAATTGGAGTCTTAAAGCCATACTCTGAATAGCCCTATTGTTCAAATACACATAAATTGCTAAAGATGGGAGTTAGTTGTTTTAACTCCCAGTGCTGTTTTAGAACATGGTCATGTTTCTCATAAGCCATTTGAATATGGGAAAATTCTCATCTCAGTTTTAAAGCCACAAGATTGATTCCTTCCCTGTATATGCTACTTGTAGCATCACCAGGTACTCAGTCTTTCTATTTTGTAATTTTCAAATTTTTGAAAGTTACTCAGCAAGTAACATAGCATACAAAGCGTTGTTTCCTATTTTAAGTCCTTTGCCTCCTGTCACTGATCTAGCTCTTTTTGTTAAGCCACCCCGCCCAACAATGTCCTATTCTCATGATACCGGCACTTTCTCGCAACTTACACCCTGCTGCAATAACCCCAGCTCCCTCACGCAGCCTGTACAATCCCATTTTCTCCACTCCTTACTGTTAAGTTGTTTCTTAGGTCTCTTTTCTATCTTGGGTTGATGGCTGGGCAAATGCAGTGTGTGGTGATGAGGCAGCTGCCATACAAGCCAAGCTAGAATGGAACAAGTTTGAGCTTCTCTTTGCCTTTCTTTCAGCAGAGAATTAATCTGTCGTCCAACCAGCTGCTAATACACAGGCATTTCATATTTCTACTTCTGAATACTTTGTCACCATAGTGGTGGGAGAGGAAGGTATTTCTTTTAACTGTAATGTTTTAAGGTTCGTGAGTTTTTTTCCTAAAGCAGCCAGCCATTATATATATTGTGTGGCGTCATATTCATCACAGGGAGGCTCACTGTAAGATAGGCAGCCTCAGGTCAACAACGCAGACTTCTGCAACTCCAGTTAGAGGAATACTGTCCAGGAGTGGCAGAGTGCACTCAACGGGACAAAGGAGGTCTTGCAGATGTTTGCAGGAGGCTTCTCTCAGTTCCTCAGATCTCATTCCAGGTAGATGGGGAACACACAGCAGCTGCAGTGGAGGTGCACAGCAGTCACTACAGAGTGAGTCCTTCTGAGATCTCACGAAGTCCCTGAAGTGAAAAAGCAGACTGAGTCTCTGGCAGCAGGGATGTGCAAATACAGTCCTATCAGTATGAGGCTAGGCTACTGGGAGGGCAGCTTACAGGGCTAGTAAGAGGTGAGTAAGCAGCTGAGAAAGGGAAACTGCTCTAGAATTCAAGGAAAGAAAGTCTTTAATAACAGTTTAACAGCTTCAATGAAGTATAATGGCCATAGGCCAACAGCTAAAATGTAATAACCAGGACACACTAAGAGGTTATGTTTTGTCTATGTTTCTGATCAAATATGTTTATGAAAACATGTTAGAAATACTTCTTAAAACCCAGGCTGTTTCCACTGTGTAGATTGGATTGAAATGACTGGTTGTATCGCTCTCCAATATTTGTTACGCATAAACAGTTAGTTGGGATATAACTTTTCATCCAGACATTCCTTGGCAGCAGCTAGGAAAATGTTAACACACTGGCTCCATCCCCAGGCCACAGACCTGGGAAATTTTAAGTGTAAACAATTTCAGACCATGAGCTGCTGCAAACAACTCTGCTCAAAACTACTTATGAAAGAACTTCCTATCCCATTTCACTTCCAGCGGATTACAGTAACAAAGAACTGCTATTTACAGCATTTAGTTTGATGGAAATTAATTGGGACAGAATTCCCAAAAGCAGGTAGCTGTGGTGGTGGTGCTGGCGATGTCCAGCTTGACAAGGTAGCCTCTTCCACCAGCAGCACCTCAGGATCTGTTAGGGGCTGCAGGCAAGTCAGTAAGCTGCCAAGTGGGCCTTGGCCTGGGCCAGCTGAACAGGGTGCAGAAAACTCCTGGGTAGGACGTGAAATTGCTGAACGTGACATGCAACAGTGTGAGAAGCTGCAGGTAGTACAGGGAGGGATGGCTGGATTTTGCCGGTGGTTAAGGGGGAGTAATGTGAAAAACAACTGAACTACACAGATAACTGGGGAGTAGTTCTGAGTGTTTGGAACTAGGAACTTGCAGGGCCAAGAATGCCCGATAACTGTATCAGTACCTCAATAACACCATATCAGGCCAAGACTGCCCAAGTAACGGTATCAAAACTACTGCACGTAGGTACTGATACAGCAAAACTAGCAACAACAGGGAGAAGCGATTAGGGGAGCGTTACGCAGGGGCAAAGAAAGGGAGTTAGAAGGGTGGCAAAAGACATGGTCAAGAAATGGGAAAATAGGTACCGAAGTATGGAAATAATGTGCTTGGAGCCTCGCTATGCTGATAATAAGCACCTCACAGGACAGCAGAACAGGATTTTATAAAAGAATATTTTCAGTTCACGAGGGCCAAACAGGCTTGTTTGACAGTGTCACAGACTTGTTTGTGGTGTCTATGAATACTGGGCCTATTTTCCTTGAGAAAACAGATTTAAAAGAAATCAATACAAACTAATGAGCATGCTAGAGAGCAGAATTGTAAGTCCCTGATCGAAGAAGCTCGTGTCATGGAACAGAGGGATGATTACAGCAGGGTCCCGCAGCAAAATGCTTACAACCATTCTCTAAATGTGAAAAAAGGTGCTCATTTCAACCTTTCTCAACGCGTGGTCCCTTTTGTAAACTCACGCCTAAAGTCAGGCTCGGCTTTCCAGCCGCCCCACGCAAACCCCTCGGCAGCCCCCACTGCGCGCCTGCCCCGGGCCCTCTGCCAGAGCCCCGCGA